TTGCTGCAGAGGCTTTTTCTCCAAGAATATTTTATACAGTAAAATTGCAACATAGGTATAAACTACTTCTTGAGAGTATTTCACTGGGGAGTACTAAAATCAAATTATTTCTATGATGCATTTATTCACTGAACTCCATTTATTCCTATCTTGTAGATTTCTACTGAGTCCCCTCAAATTCTCTTCCCTGGGGCTACTCAGATAAATGCCATATTGCCCTGACTAAAAGGACAAATGATCCAGGAAGCCAGAGATACAGTTTAAAAAAATAATTATGACACAGTACACAAAAGGTGTGTGGCAGGTGATATGTTGCCCCAGTCAAGTAGTAACCCGTTTTTCCTCTGAGGACAAACATTACAAAGGGGTCTGATTTGGACCTTCTAGAGAAACAGGAATCCTGTAAATGAACTGAGATCTAGGAAGAGTGGGTAACGTGGTATAAATGAGCACCACCCGTTCAAAGAACTTAAGTGGTTCTTGGTGTTAAATAGTAGGCTGAGGTGAGAAGGGGGTGGAAGGCATTGCTGGAAAGGTGAGGAATAGCCAGGAAAAACTTTTCTCCTACAGAGTTGGTTCTTAAGTCCTGGTCTTTAATTTCTGACTTGTTTCTTCTCCATAATTGCCACTATGGGAAAGATGTATGTCCTGTAATTCCTGAAATCAGGGACCAATATTATGTGCTATCTTAACATCTGAGGAAGTTAGAAGAGCCTCCAATGTTGGTCTGCCGTTTCCTCTTCTCATTCCACTTCTGCAGATGAGGTCCACCAGCTGGACAGCCCTCCTCCTCAGACTGACTAAGTGCACTTCCTGCTTGTGTTATAGAAGCAGCTTCCAGTTCTCTTTGGAATTATTCACAGACGCTTATCACACCCTTTGGTGGGAACCTGGGGACACCTCATCCTTTTGGTAATACAGTGCCTGCCTGCATGGCCTCTACTGGTTCACTGTGCCTTAGTGCAACACTTGTGAGGCCCTCAGTGTCCTCCTCCCTGGACAGTTGAATATGTCACCGTATACCCTCCATATAAACCAGTGAGGATAGGGGTCATGTGTTCAACCAACCCCATAACACTAAGGGATGAATTTCACCCTCACCTACAGGGTAACAGGAAGTGATTAAAATATCATGTGAGGGAAAAATCAAACCTTCTATACCCCAGGCAAGAGTAATTTTTATGAAATTTTCTGTTCCCATCAACCACTTCTTGTGATTAACTATAATTTTAGAGGATGAGAATGAGAGAAGAAAGCATGAAAATCTTTTGAGGTAAGAAATTGTTTCTATTAAGTTATCAAAACCCATCTTTTAAATTTTGTTATAGAAAAGTGAATTTTGAAAGCAAGACTTTTCAGACAATATTTTCCTTTATGAGCTATTAAAATAAGAGAATGATGAAATCTAATCATTTCTATGTTGCTTTTCTGAGTTCTTGGCAGTATATCCCTTGCAAAGTGATCATTCTTGTGTGTGGACATGGTGTCTCTTGCCAGTGATTCAAGACCTGTGATATTCCTGGATCTGGTACAAATGGATTCTGATAACCAGTGAATTGCACGGTTGGAGTGACACCTAGTCAGGATACAGCTAATCAGAATGACACTGAAAAAATATAAAATAGGAAGTACATCTAAATTAAATATTCTAAATATTGTATATGATATTACAATAGAGAACTGAGTCTTGTTTGCCTCTCTACAAATCTATTGCAACACATATATTCACAGGATTATTTTTTCTCTTGAAAGTACAACTGTCTACAGGGACCAGGCACTCAACTACCTAGTGGCTGCAGACCAAGGCTAATCACATTTTGAGTAACTTCTTTTGCAATTGCCTGTGAAACTTGTGACACCTATTTTTGAATGATATTAATAATGATGGATTTGAGAGTGGCTTGGAACTGGAAAGCTTGAAAAATCTGTTGTTAAATATCTAGACTTGATGATCAAAAATGAAAAATACAGAATGTCAAGAAATTCCATCTTTGTGAGTCATTTCCAGCTGAATACTGGCAGTTTTCTTTGTAGTTCAACCTAATATGAATCTTAGAACATAAGAAAGTAAGGGAAACACCAAAGGGTCAGGCTGAATTCAGAATGTTTGTCTAGATGGTAAAGTATTGGTTGTTCTGAAAGTATTGAACTCACTAGCCATAGGTATTGGCATTTACTACCAGCTAGGCCAGTGGAGAGGCAGACTTGAGACTGAGCCAGATAGAGAACTGAAGTTGTATTACTGTCAACAAGCCAGGACTTTTGAAGGGTTGTACACTCAAGTACAAGGTGGGTGAGAAAAATCATTTCCAATGGGAAATGCAAAGCACATTTTCTTATATCAACTTGGGTTCAAGGTAGAAAGAAAATAACTGTGAACTACAAGCTTACTCTGATGAGTTTGAAAACAATTCACAACATCTCTCTGGTAAGAAATTAAAATTAATTACATTAAATAGTTTCTGTTATTCTTTTTCTGCAAGTGAAGGAGTAGCTTATGTAAGAGCAGCTTGTTTTGCAGATAACAATGATAAATTCTGAACAAAATATAATTAAGAACCGTGTGAAGGTATAGGAGTGTAACCAAGGGCAGTTAGAAACTGCAGTAGAGTCAGTGCTTGTAAGAAGAAAATGGAATTCGATTGACTTCTAGATTTTGTGTTTCCTTTTTCTGTAAGAGTAGCCCCTTGTTTGCCTGCTAAGACGCAGCTGAAACTTAGCAAGAAACCTACAAACAGACTGATGAGGAACTAGAAGAAAGAGTTACGATTACACAAGAGCTCGAATGTGAACCAGGAATGGAGGAGGAGTAGCTGAAGGGGAGCCCCACGTGCTGCTAAGAAACTCTGCCTGTCTCTGGGTGACTACTGAATAATACATGTGCCCATGAAGCTTAGTGAGGGGTAAAATAAATAAATAGCTATTTCAGCTTCTGCCCACGACGTCACCAAGGAGACATAGACCTTGGAGCCAAATTAACTGCATGTTAAAATGAAATAAAAATAATATTCCTCATAGAATGATAATAGAATCTATAGTCTTTAAAACATATCACTCGATCTCTAATCTATAATTTCTAGGCATTCAAAGAAACAAAACAGTATCATCCATATTGAGTGGAACATATAATTCATAGAGATCAACATTAAGGTTTTTCAAATGTTTTTAATCATCTGGCAAGAATTTTAAAGCTGTTGTTATAAACACTCTCAAGATATAAAGAAGAACATGTTCATAATGAATTGAAATATAAAAATTCTTAGTACAGAACTAGAAATTTTAGCTTAAAATGAAATGAAAATTCTGCAACTGAAAATAAAATATCAAAAATAGAAAACTCCCTGGATTGGGTTTAAAAGAAATCTGGGGACAGAGAAGAGTCGGCAAAATTGAAGATAGGTTGATAAAAGTTATCTCATTTGAAAAATGAAATGATTGAATAATTGACCAGAGCTCCAATGACTGTGGAATCATATCCCATCTAATCAGGATCTCAGGAAAAGAGGACGAAATGAAAAAAAAATCTATATAATTGATAATATTAGCCAGATTTGGTGAGAGATATAAATGGCTATTTTGAAGAGGCTCACAAAGTCCCGGGAAGTTTTAATAGGGACACACCATGCACAAGCAACACAGGCCCGCTGCTAAAAATCAAATATAAAAAGTGTCTTGAGAACGGGGGTTGGGGGGGAGGGGTTGGAAACAGCCCAGAGACCAAGAGCAGTACAGGGAGCCCTAGCTTACTGGCAACATGAGCTGCAGTACCTCAGGGTGAGCCTCTAAAATGCCTGAAGTGAAAAAGAGAACTCCACAGTCCTTCAAGAAGAAAGACAAAATAAATGTTCAGCTAAGAGAAAACAAAGAGAATTCCTGTATAGCCTACTTAACAGTACAAAACATGTTAAAGGAAGTTTGCTAGGCTGTAGGGAAATAATGGCAACTAGAACCTCAGGAAGTATTTTAGGAAGGAATGCAGACCACGGAAAGTGGACAATGTGTGGGCATATATAAAACATTATTTTATTAAAAATTTTTAAAAATATACATAATCATTCAAAAACATTTTAGGGAAAAATTATAACATGATAATGTGTGTATAGCGTAGTTAAATTGCGCATGGTAATTGGAGGATGAACAAGAGGGTGAATTGAGCTGTGCAATTGTAAGATTCTTGCATATTATACGAAATATTCCAAAATTTTGGTTGCTCGAGTTAGTCTTTAGTAAGAGTGGAAAAGTTCCAAGGCTAATTTCTAAGAAAACATAGCCCATAGTAATGTAATGTAAGCAACACTAGCTACCTGCCATTTCCATGTCTTATCACAGTCATTGTTTACTTCCTTCCATTCCATCCTTTGGTGTGTTGGCTGTCCCACATGGCCACTCTCTAACAGCAACTCAGTCATATTATCTTCTTACATCCTGCACCCAGCTAGCTGAAGATGAGACCGGGCATGGTGAAATGTCACTCCCATTCTTAACTGCCTTCAACTAGAAATTATGCATCACTTCTGCTTGTATTCAGGAGCAATCAGTCACAGATTCACAGCTAAATTCCTGAGGTCAAGAAAATGTTGCCTAAGTGTATTCAAGAAAGTGACAAAATCTGAAAGAACATTTAGCATTACCTCTGCCACATGCCCAATTAGTGGATGAAAAATAAATAAGGAAAAAACTCATTTAATCAACTAAAATTCACAAATTCAAGAAAAGAAATACAAAAAGCAGGGTAGAAGTAGAACAAAAGCAATCTACAAAAGCAATTTCCTTTCCTTATTGTAATACCTCATATTAGAGATGTTAATTTCACAGAAGACGTGGGAGAAATATGGAAAATGACTTCATGTTAGAGAATAGCTCATCAAATGAGTCAAAGTTTTTTTTGTTTTGTTTTGTCTTAGAAATTCTGAGATACACAGGGCTCGCTTTGAAAAGACTTTTCGCCTCCACTGGTACTGACTAAGGTCTCATACAAGGACTATTTTGTTTGTCACTAGGCACTAGATGAACCAGCCCAGGCTGAAAGTGTGTCCCAGGACAGCTCCGTAGACCTGCCCCTGGAGGTAATGACTTCAATCACCTGCTTTTGGTTTGCAATCTGCAACTCAGTGCTAACCCACACCCTGGTTTCGATTCTTCCAGTTGTGTTTCCCTGCACAGCTCAGGCAGCAAACTGAAGAGCTCTGTGCTGCCATTGATAAGGTCTTGCAGGATTCCTTGTCTATGGTAATGCCTTAGACTAGAACACGCTACTCAAACATTTGCTTTGCTTCTCTTCATTTCCCTTTATTTAGTATGATGCCTCTCAGGCCTATCTTTTCTTTCTTCTTCCCCCTCACCCCAGCATTCTTCTGATTCTCCTTCAAGGTCTCCACAGCAGACATTGCTGGGTTCTGAAACAATCAAAGTATGTATATATTTAATACCATTTACTGAACCATAAGATTTTCTAAACTAACAATTTTCAAACTGCAAGCCAAGGTCTAACAGGAAATCCGGAAGTTAATTTAGCAGTTAATAATCAGTATATATATTAGCAACCAGCACCTAAAAAAATAGTAGAATATCAGATGCTATTCCAAGTAGCATACAGGAACTGGTAACATTTGTTACCATTTGTTTCCATGTACACAGTTAGGTATGCATATAAAGGGTTGCAAAGTAAAAGGTATTTCTCACTGTGAGTTGTGTTCAAAGCAGTTTGAAAGCCAGCCTACTAGACTGTGTTCTTGTATGTTGGAATCTGACAAGCTGCATGTAGAATTTGTGATTTATCTCACACCATAGCTTAAGGACTAATGTAACTTACCATTGTAATTTGTAATTCAGAATTGTCCAAGTGAGAAATGAAGTTGACTAAAGTAGCATTAGTCTGATAGCTTTATCATAAGTATTATTTCTGGATTTTTTAAACTGACTGAATTTATTTCATTCTTATTTAATTCAAATGGATATAACCTTTATATTTTAGATTATTAGAATACTGCTAAATTATTCATTGTAATTAAATATGTAAATGTTTCCTTCATATAATATAGCCATTTTCAGTTGTTTGGATAAAATTTTACATTTCTATTTTCTCAATTACTTAACTCTATCCAATTTCAAAGAGCATGTGGTTCTTCCTGTATTGAAAATAATTAATTGTTTTATTTTTCTTTTTGGGTCAGCCTTATTTTATTTTCTTTCTTGAAATTAATATAAGTACTTTTCCAGGTCCTTTCAAAAAATGGAACATTGTGTGTCTGAAGTAGGTTTTAAATGTACAGAATTGCTCATAACTAGAAGAGCAATAGTAATTTTCAATTGGAACATTACAGACAAATATTCATAAGTAGTAAAATAGAGACTCGGTAAGCAATTGTTAATATTAAAAAAATATTCTTTAGAAGAGAGGACTCACAAATAGATATAGTTTCTGTATTTGAAATCTGTTTTGTTGTATATGCTTTAAGTCTTTTAACAGGAAATTTAGATGTGTCAAAAATAAGTATATCAATTTTAAACTATATTTTTTCTGATTTGTTTATTGAACATGTAAAAACTCTGCATTATATTAAATATAATTAGAATTAGGTTGAAGAAGTAATATGTGAATAATTTATATCATTGTTTCGTTTAACAAATATTTAATGGTCATGTTCTTAACAAAAGCAGTATTTTAAGCTACAAAATTTTAGGCAATTTTTCATTGTATTATTTTTGGTTTTTTTGATTGACAATTTTTGTACATATTTATTAGGTACAATGTGTGCTTTGATACCATGTGCATTAATGATCAACTCAAAATAATTAGTGTATCTATCACTTTGAACTTTTATTGTTTCTTTATAATGAGCACACTCAAATGCCTCTCTTCTTACTGTTTTGAGATATATAATGTAATATTATTAGTTATATTCACACTGCTGTGCCATCGGACAGTAGAAGCTGTTTTTCCTATCAAACAATTACACTGTATCCCTCCTTCACCTGGTCCCTTGCATTTCTCCTTAGTCTCTGGTAACCATCATTCTGCTTCCAACTGTTGTGATCAACAGTTTTAGGGTTCACTTATGACAGAGATTATCAATGCTTACCTTTCAGTGCTCAACTAATTTCACATAACAGAATGCTCTTCAGTCCCATACATATTGTCCCAAGTAACAGGATTTTACATTTTTTTTGGCTGAGTAGTGTATATTTACCATGTTTTCTTTCCTCATTCATATAATGATGAGCATGTGGGTTAATTCCATATCCTAGCTGTTATAAACAGGGATGCAATCAACATGAGTGTGCTGATGTGTTTCTGACATGCATATTTCATTAAGGTATTATTTCTGGATTCTTTAACTTACTGAATTTATTTCATTGTATCTTCTTGGTACCAGTACAGGTACTTCTTCAGATTCTTTTAAAAATAAGAACATGTATGTCTGAGGTAGGTTTTAAATATACAGAATTGCTCATAATTAGAAGAGCAATCTTAATTTTCAATTGGAACATTATAGGCAAATATCCAGAAGCCCAGTAACCAATTTTCAACATTAAGAAATTATATTTATGAAAGAGGACACACAAATTGCTACCATATATGAAAGAAACACTAAGGATTCAGTTACAACAATTAATCGTTTAGTAGTTCTCTAACAATCTAAAATATAAGCGTTCTGTTCTTTTGAGTTAAAGAGCAATGGGGTTGCTGGATCCTATAGTAGCACTCTTCTAACTTTTTTGAAGAAGCGCCATGGTATTTTGCATAATTTACAGTGTCATCAACAATGACCAAGATTCCTCCTTCATATCCTTGCTAGCACTCATTATTTATCTTCTTGGTAAAAGCTATTATGGTGTGAGGTGGTCTCTGTGGTTTTTACTTCCCTCAGGATGAGTTATACTAAGCATTTTCACATATCTGTTTACCACTTGCAGGTTTTTTTTTTTTTTTTTGAGAAATGTTTATTACAAACATTAGTCTATTTAAAAAACTGAGTTGTGTTTTTGCTGTTGAGTTGTTTCTTATACATTCAGGTTATTACCATTTTCAGATGTATGGTTTGCAAACAATTTATACCATTCTGTAGGATTTTTGTTCTGACTGTTCCCTTTTGCTTCAACAAATATTGATTAATAGATATATTTATAGTAAATACTTATTTACTATATATCTAGGGCTGTGAGGCACAAAAAGACAAGATAGGCATACCAACCCACAGGATATACTTTGGTTAGAGTAGATGAGACAGAATTCAAACAGAGGCTCAAACACTGAAGGGAATCAGCCATAGGGCTGATAGCTTTCAGAGCTGGGATTGTAGGCATGCACTACCACACCCAGATCTATTTGCCTATCAACTTTAAAGCTTATAAAATTCTTTAGCATTCTGAGGTTTTCACTTTCTTTTTTCACTTGTTTTTAATCAAGCTAAACATATACACAATTTATTAGTACATTTTGAATCTTGTCTGAATTTTTACGTTTATACTTTTTCTCGATCTCTTCACTTAACATTATATTCTCAAGTTGCATCCATTTACCTACAAATGCCTCAGGTTTTTCTTTATGGCAAGGCAGTACTCCATTATGTATAAATGCCACATTTTCTTTATTCATTCATCTGTTGATAGACATATACACCATTTTCAAGATGTTGCTATTATAAATTATGCTGCTATAAACATGGGGATGCATATATCTATATAATATGATGACTTTAACTCTTTTGGGAATATACCTAGAAAGGGAATAGCTTGGTCTAATGGAATTTGTAGTTTTAGTTTTTTTTTTT